GCGGGGACCCCGCGGGAGGCCCGGCCAGGTGGGCGTGGGTGGGGGCGGGGCGGGGCTCTCCGCATCCCTGCGCCCCACCCTCCGCGGGCCGGAAAGGTAGGGTGAGGAGACTTCTGCTGGGAAGCGGGGTCCGGCTGCAGGGAAGAGGTCGGATTTCTACCTGAAACGACGCGGATGCTGCGGGATCAGGCTCTGGGGCTGGGGAAGGCGCTCCGTGCCTCAGTGTCCCCTGTGCTGCGGGACGGAAAGCCCGGTGTGATAAGCCCTTCCGTCAGGCTGAGCCTGAGAGGGCCTGGAGCCCGCTGGACTTGGCCAGGTGGGGGCGCTGCAGGCGCTGGTGCCCCTTGGACTTTGCTTGTCCGTCTCTGGGCCCCCCGGCCTTACCTCGGTGACCCATGTCAGACCCTGGGTCTCCCCTTCCAGAAACCCTGTCCAGCTGTTCTGGGCAGGGCCAGCTTCCCAGAATTCTTCCTGGGGGCCATGGTCCCTGTCCCCAGAGTCAGGCTGGGCAGGACAGGAGAGGGCTGTAGGTTCCAACAGCTGGGTAGATGCCGGGGGCAGGCGTGGCCCTGTCCTCGGTGGCAGCCGAGACACCTGTCACTGGCAGCTCAGGCCTCACTGGGAGGCTTCCCCAAGCTCTGCTCAGTGCAGACTCCTGAGGAGCCAGCAGCAGCCAACAGCCAGCCTTCCACCTGCCCAGGGCCCTAGCCGTGGGGTGAGGCCTGGTATCCAGTTGGGCGAGCCACGTGGAAGGCGTGGCTAGGAAGGGGTGAGGGAGCTGGGGACCATGTGGCACACTAACAGCCTCACCCAAGAACCCAGAACAACTGAGGGGCCAGCCTGTCCCCTGCACCCCAGACTCCTGTGTCTGGGTCTCCCCAGATGCCTCACCATGCTAGGGCCCCAGATCCAGCTTGATTCTGGGGAGGACAGAGTGTTGCCATGGTGACTGATGGCCACTGGCCAGCTCAAGACAGAGGTGAAGGAGTGGGGGAGAGGCCTCTGTGAAGGGCAGGAGTGACGAAAGAGCACTTAGTGTCTCAGCCTCAGTTACCTGAGACCCAGTATCCATCCATCTCCACCACTCAGTCTTTTTTGTGGTGCTGGGGATCAAACCCAGGGCCTTGTGCGTGCAAGGCAAGAACCCACCCCAACCCCTATCCTAGCCCTACACTGCTTAACCCTGAGCTCTCCGTGCAGGTCCCTTGCTCTCACTGTCCTCCCCTGACTCAGCCTTCTTTCCCTGCCCTCCCCTCGGAAGTGCACCTACCAGGGTCCAGTGGCTGAGTTTATACCCCCGGGCAGACTCCCAGGTTCAGATCCCAGGCCTCCCGAGAACTAGCAGAGACCTAAACTCTGAACCTTGGCTGTGAAATGGGCTGGGACAGCACTCACTCAGACGCACCGCCGCAGTGCCATGGGCCCTAGTCATGGCCTGCGCAGAAGTGCTGGGATTCAAGGGCTGCATGTGTGAGCATTAACTTGGTGAAGCAGCCGAACCACCCGTGCCCCTCTGGGCTGCGGGGAGCCTCGGATTAGCATCCTGAGAATGTAGGCTTGGCAAGGGGCGTAGCTCAGGCTGAGTGGAGTTTGATTTAAGGCCCTGGGTTCAATTCCCAACACTGAAAGCAGTTTATTTGATTCCCATAAATAAATGCTGGCTCTTACTACAGTATGGCATGTGGCTGGGTGTGGTGCTGCACACCTATAATCCCAATACTTTGGAGACTGAGACCTGGACAACTTAGTGAGGTCCTATCTGAAAATTTTAAGAAGGGCTGCGGGGTTTGGTGCTGTGTGAGGCCTTGCATTCCACCTGGCCCACTGTCCATCGGCCCCAGCACTCTCCCAACCAACACCCTCTGTCTGTCCTGCCCACAGAAATCCTGATCAAGGTGCAGGTGTACGTGAGCGGGGAGCTGGTGCCCCTGGCCCGGGCCTCAGTGGACGTGTTTGGGAACCGCACGCTGCTGGCTGCCGGTACCACAGACTCTGAGGGCGCAGCCACCCTGCCGCTCAGTTACCACCTGGGCACCTGGGTGCTGGTCACTGCTGCCCGCCCTGGCTTCCTCACCAACTCGGCGCCCTGGCGGGTGGACAAGCTGCCCTGTGAGTTTGGGACAGGGGCAGCAGCTGGCCCTCCATCAGCCACTTCCCAAAATAGCCCCTGGGGGTGAGGGGCTTCCCAGCAGCTGCTGCAGGCCGGGGATGGTGGCTGAGGGAGTCCTGGACCTGCATGCACCTTTGCTGACTCCCTGCCCCCACAGTGTATGCCTCTGTCAGCCTCTACCTCCTCCCTGAGCGGCCGGCTACCCTCATCCTCTATGAGGACCTTGTGCACATCCTGCTGGGCTCCCCTGGTAAGGCCATCTCCCTGCCTCTCCCATGGGGCTGTGGCTGGGTTCCCTGGCATCACTTTCCCTCCGTGCCACCCTTTGCGTGTCAGGTGTGGAAGGACTGTTCCTACATCAGATGAAGGGGTGAGCTAACGGCAAGAATATACGCAAAAACCCCGCCCAGAGGTGTTCAGTGAAGGCCTCCATCCCCTGGGCCTGTCCCCAGCCACCTGCACCCCAGCTGGTCTGCACAGATTGGCTGCTCCTGCCGTGTCTGAAGGCCACCAGAGCGTGAGGGAGGAAGGACAGACAATTCACACAGAGACCAGGCAACAAGGGGCAACCTCCCCAGTGACAAGCTGTCCTCTGTGATTACAGCCCCGTGGCTAGGGGTCTGCTGGGGAGAATGGTAGACAGCAAGGCCTGGTGGGCCCTCGGGTGCAGAGATCCAGAGGACAGTGAGCGCTTGGGAATGTCCTGGCCTGATCCCACTTGGGAGTTCTGGGAGCCCCTGTGGGCTGTGGCAGGGGACAAGTCACACCCCGGGTTTAAGCCTCCACTTGAGCCCTGTTGGCAGCCACTCCTGTTTGCGGTCTTCATTCTCCCAGTCTTGCACCCTAAAGGGCCCCAGCAGGACCCTGAATGCTGCAGCCTCCTCAGCCCTGACCTCATGGCCTTTCCACAGCCTGGCTGCAGTTAGGACAAAGCCTCAGCCCCCACACTGGCAGGGATATAACCTCAGGCCTTGGGCTCCTTGTGTCCGTACCTTTGCGAGGGAGAGGGGAAAGGGTCATGCTGCCTGGGCGGGCACCAGTCCTCTCTAGGGCAGTAGCCTTGCCTGCGTCTGCATCTGGGAGACAGCGCTGGTCATGTGGGCACGCCCCGTCCCACGGTGTGACCTCAGACGTCACTAAGGGTGACCTGCTTGAAATAGGGCTCAGCGCACTCTAAAGCTCAATAAACATGTCCTCCACCTTCCTGCCCCAGAACCCTGTCGTGTGTCTGCGCCCTGCACCCAGCATACACATGCACATGCACACCACACCCTGGCCATCAACTTAGGAGCAACCTGTCTCCTTAAATTGGGATAATTTCAATTAAAATTAATTAAATCAACAATCCAGTACAGTTTTTCAGTCACTGGTAACATTGCCAGTGCTGAACAGCTCCTAGTGTCCAGGTACAAAGCAAAGACCGCCCACAGCTGCCCTGGGCTGGGACCCAGAAGGGGAGTCTGTGTGGCTGTCCCTGGAGCCGGGACCCACGCCAGGCCAGCAACCTCCGCACATTGCTCACAAGAAAATGGTGTTTCCTCACCGCTAGGGCCACACCCTCTCCTGGCAACGCCCGCCGCCCAGTGTCCCCGACCCGCTTCCCACCCCCGGCCCTGTCCTCGCAGGTGCCCGCTCTCAGCCCTGGGTGCAGTTCCAGCGCAGGGCCGCGCGCCTGCCGCCCAGCGCCACCTACAGCCAGCTGTGGGCCTCGCTCACGCCCGCCAGCACCGCACAAGAGCTGCGCGCCTTCCCGGCCTTCCTGGGCACCGAGACGCCTGGCACAGGTAGGCTGGGCACCAGCGGGGGCTGGAGGTCCCATCACGGGCGGCGCTCACCCGACCCTCCCCCACAGGCAATGGGTCCTGGCTGGAGCTGGCTCCCCTGACAGCCGTGAGCGTGCAGTTGCTTGCAGGCAATGGCTCCGAGGTGCCACTTGCTGGGCCTGCACACCTGGCACTGCCGCTGCCCACCGAGCCACGCGCCCTGGCTGTGGGCACTGGCATCCCGGCCTGGAGGTTCGACCACAAGAGTGGTGAGTGTAGGGTGGAGAGGGACGGGGAGGGCGTGGGGCAGCCAGGCCGGGTCACCACACTGACGCCCCCACCTCCCCAGGACTGTGGGTCCGCAATGGCACCGGCGTGATCCGCAGGGAGGGCCGCCAGCTCTACTGGACTTTTGCCTCCCCGCAGCTGGGCTACTGGGCAGCTGCCGTGGCCTCGCCAGCTGCTGGTAAGTAGGGACAGGGGAGGGGAGCCCAGAGGTGCGGGGCAGTGGGGGCATAGGACCTGACCTCAGCCTGCTCAGGGCTGGTCACCATCGCGGCGGGCATCGCGGACTTCGGCGCCTACCACACCGTGTTCCTGCTCACCATCCTGGCCGCGCTGGCGCTGCTGGTGCTCATCCTGCTGTGTCTGCTTATCTACTACTGCCGGTGAGTGCACTGGGCGCCATGTGGCACAGGCGGGGAGCATGCTCCCCGGTGCCCCTAGCTTGGAGTCTGAAGCCAGGCTCCCCCGCAGGAGGCGCTGCCTGAAGCCCAGGCAGCAGCAGCACCGCAAGCTGCCGCTCTCCGGGCCCGCGGACGGCGCCAAGCGGGACCAGGCCACGTCCATGTCGCAGCTGCACCTCATCTGCACAGGGCCTCTGGAGCCTGTGTCCTCCGGGGACCCCGAGGCCCCACCACCCGGCCCCCTGCACTCGGCCTTTTCTAGCACACGTGATCTGACCGCTTCTCGCGACGATTTCTTCCGTGCCAAGAATCGCGCATCCAGCCGCCCCTCCGAGCCCCTGGGGGTTCGCGGGGGAGATGGGGCGGTGCTCCGGGGCATGCGCAGCGCTGAAGAGCCAGCACCCGAGGAGCCCCGGCGCGCGCCCCCGGGGACTGCCGCCTTCACCCGCGAGCCACCCTCACCACCGCCCTTTGAGCGCCCCACGGGCCCCCCGGGCACGGCGGATGTCCGGGGTCCCGAGTTCCCGCCCGCGGCCGACCCCTCCGGACGCCCCCCGTCCCTGGGTGCGGCCGGGCCGCTGCTGCTGTGCGGTGCGCTCGACGCCCTGCCGGACAGCGTGTACCGCGGTGTGCTACCCACGCTCGTCATCCCTGCGCGCTATGTGCGCCTGGGCACCGAGGCCGCCGCGGGGAGCTCGGAGCCCACTGTGCCGGAGGGCGCCGCGCGCGCCTTCCCCGCAGCCGAGCCTGCCCGCGCCCTGCCCGCGCCCGGCCCTGCTGCGCCCGTGACCATCCCTGTGCTGCTCGACGAGTCGGCCGTGGCGCAGCTCAATGGCGAGCTGCAGGCGCTGACGGAGCAGCAGCTGCGCGAGCTGGGCGTGCGCCCCCCACCGCGCGCCTGGTTCGTGTCGCTGGACGGGCGCTGCAATGCGCAAGTGCGCCACTCCTACATCGACCTGCAGGCGGGAGCACGCGCGGACGCCGGTCCGGACCCCGGGGTGGACGCGCACGAGGTGAGACCCGCGCGCCCCCGCCGCCCCGCGCGAGACGAACGCCCACCCGCGCCCCCACGCCTGGCGCTCGGCGAGGACACGGAGCCCAGCAGCAGCGAGAGCCGAACGGGACTGTGCTCGCCCGAGGACAACTCGCTGACACCGCTGCTGGATGAGGCGGTGGCGCCCGAAGGCCGCACAGCCACCGTGCCTAGGGGCCGGGGCCGCAGCCGCGCAGACAGTTCTCGCAGCAGCGTGAGCGAGCTGCGGCGCGACTCGCTCACCAGCCCTGAGGATGAGCTGGGAGCCGACACGGGCGACGACACAGGAGACAAGAAGAGCCCCTGGCAGCGGCGTGAGGAGCGGCCACTTATGGTGTTCAACGTCAAGTAGTCAGTGGAGGGTTCCCAGGCCCCGCTGGGCTGGGTGATCCCACGGGGCCCCTCGGGTCAGGCAGCACCAGGGAGGAGGGCTGGGGGGAAGCAGGAGGGCGACCTGGAGGTTCCCGGGGAGGGGAGGGGGTGCAGCCTGTTGACAGGGCCACCCAGAGCTGGGAGGTCACAGGGCTGTGTGGGGCAGCCTCAGGGGCTGGAGGCGTGGGATGGGGCAGAGGGCAGCAGCAAATATAAAGCCAGTGAGGGTCACACGCGTGTCTTTCTGTGGGTGGTGAGAAGGCCGGTCAGGCACAGGTAGGAAGTGTATAAACTTTATGGGAGCACACACAACTCGCGCACGTACCTCAGAGCAGCACCGGGCCACAGGGTGGGGGAGTGGCAGCTTGGTGGCTTCTGCCCCACCCCTGTGGAAGGGGTAAAGAGCAAGGTCCCACCCTTGGGGAAGGGCCACTCAGTGGGGTTCAGAGGAGGGGCTGGGAAGGCCTGAGCAGTGGGTCCCGTGCAGGGTCCCAGGACTGAGGGTCTTGGGTCCCCAGCTCTTCACAGCAGCGGTCTTGGGGCAGGTCTCAGAGGGCCATCCCAGCGCATCAGGCTCTTCCTGCGGACGCACCTAGTCCCCTTGCTCCCGCAGCGGAAGCCCACAGGACAGCAGTGGCGCCGGTCCATGCAGCACACACCCTGAATGGAGTGACAGAGTTGGCCCAGGCAGGACCTGGCACCCAACCCTGGGCCCAGCCTGCGGTGACACTGACCTGGCGGAAGGGGCAGCAGGCCCAGCCACCCTTGGTGTTTCGACAGCAGGTCTGTTCATCGTGACAGAAGTGCCCATCGCCGCATGCCACGTCCATCACCCCCCCGGCAGAGCCCAGGGCCAGGAGGGCAGCAGGGCCGGCACCATCGGCCACCTTCTCGCAGGACCGGCCCTTCAGGTTGCAGGTGTAGCCCGCCGGGCAGCAGTGCTGGCGGTCCTCGCAGCACACGGCCTGTAGAAGCAGCGGGGTCACTGCCTGTGCCACCAGCAAGGCTCCCTCCTGTGGTAGCAGGCGGGGTGCTTACGTGGGGCAGCTGGCAGCAGGCCCAGCCCCCGCCCAGGCGGGGGCAGCACGTCTGGCCAACTGGGCAGCTGGTGTGCTGATCACAGCCAATGTCCCCCACAAGAGACAAGGACGTCAGGTGGGCAGCTGTCTTCTCCAATCCAGCCACCAACATGTCCCTCATCTGACACTGCCCCTTGGCCACACACAAATAACCCCGGGGACAGCAGTGTTCATGGTCAGCGCAGCAGACAGCCTGGGTGGGTGGAAAGGGGGTTGTGGGGTATAGTTGTGCCTGGCTCAATGCTCAGAGCTGGTGCTGCCCAGCAAGGCTAAGGCCCCAGGGCACCCCCTGCCATGCGCCCCCCCCATACACATACACACCTCTGGGGTGGGACAGCAGCCCCACTGCCCAGAAGCGAGGTGGCAGCAAGTGTTGCCAGGGAGACAGCTGGTGATGTTGTCACAGGAGACATCACTCTTCAGTAGACTGGAATGGGCTGGGCTCTTCGGTACCCAAGGTACCTGGAGCACCCCCTGCTCACACGTGCCCTTCTCCGTGTGGCACCTGAACCCCGCAGGGCAGCAGTGGACATGGTCCTCACAACACACGGCCTTGGGAACAGAGGACAGTGGGCACAGGCCTCACCGGCTACCCCACTGCTGCCCACTAACCAGGTCCTGGGTACCTTTGGGAAAGGGCAGCAGCCCCAAGCACCCGACTGCAGGCGGCAGCACGTCTGGCCATCCGGACAGCTCACCTCCTGGTCACACTCCACATCCCACACTGTAGGCAGGCGAGGGGCATGTCACAGTCCTGGGGGCCCAGTCCACCCCTCTTAAGAATGGCCCAGGTGTTGTGAAGAAGGGCCCCCCGTGGCCCAGGACAGCTAGGTGTGCGGGGGCAGGCGTGGGTCACCACTACCTGTCCGTGCAGGGAGCTTGGTCAGCAGGGCCACGGCCTTGTCGTGGGACAAGCATCTGCTCTGTTTCAGGTCACACACAGTGTCCTGGGGGCAGCAGTGGAGGTGGTCTGAGCAGCAGATGGCCTGTGTGGGGACAGGGCCAGGGCTGGGGGCGGGCCTGGCGACTGCAGGCAGGGGCATGGGTCCCAAGACACAGCCAGTGGGTGACTCCAGCCCCACTCACGTTGGGCACTGGGCAGCAGCCGTACTCCCCACTGGGCAGCTTGCAGCAGGTGGTGTCATCTGGGCACTGGGATCGCGTGTCAGGGCAAAGGACTGAGGTGGGTAGAGCCACAGGGAGAGGGGTGGGAGACAGGATGGCTCCCAGCCCAATGCGTGTCCCTTTGGCACCTGTGCCATTCCTCCTCTGGGCAGGGACCTTCCTGGCCAGCGGGTGGGTGCCCGTGGGCGTGACACAGCGGATGTGCACCAAGTCGCAGGCAGCCCCATGGGGACAGCAGTGCACCCTGTCTTCACAGCAGGAGGCCTGGGAAGAGCAGGTCCTGAGCCACTCTGGCCCTCTCCCCAATACCCCGTACCCCCCGCAGGGATGGTGGCCATACCTGGGGCATGGGGCAGCACCCCCAGGAGCCATCCAGCATGGGGCAGCATGTGGAGGAGTCGGGGCACTCGAACTCACCGCCAGGGCACTGGACAGCACCCAGCAGGTGGCCACCTGAGCACAGGATGATCAAGATGCCATCTAAAGTGTTCCCAGCTAGCAGGGCTCCCCACAAGCCAGTCCCTGACTGAGAATACCACGTGCACCCACCAGGGTAGGGACCAGGTCAGCACACAGCCTCTCCCACCCGCAGCAGCCAACCCTGCGCCCTTCCCCCCGTGGGCCCCACTTGGTCAGAGGAGAAGACGCTCAGCACAGATGCCACATGGCCCAAGGGCGGGAGCCCAGGCCACGCAGTGTTGTGCACACTGTTCCTGCCCACCTGCCCCCTGAACACACCTGGTCTCTGGATGCACATCTGCCCATCAGCGCTGCAGTGGAAGCCTTGCGGACAGCAGTGGAGGCCACCCCTGCAAGCCACAGCCTGTGGGACACAGAGGCCAATGTGGGCAAGGGCCTCATGTGGGGTGGGGGTACAAGCTGGGTGAGGGCAGATACAAACCCCTGGCGGCGTGGCGCCCTCACCTGTGAGAACGGGCAACAAGCAGAAGTTCCTGACGCAGTAAGGACACAGGAGTGGCCCGCAGAGCAGTGGGCTGGGGTCTCGCAGGGCCTTCCCAGGTGCCCACTCGGGGCTGTGGGCCACGTGTCCTGCCAGAGAGGAGGGATCAGCCGGTTCCCAGCCACCTCCTGGCTACCCTGAGCCTGGTTCACTGGGCTGTAGGGACTTACCACCCCTGGGTCACAGCAGCTGTAGCTGGCTCCTCCAGGATCTGGGCAGCAGGCCACCGGGCAGACCTGGCCATCTGGGCACCGTGTTCCAGCCACCAGCCCTGCCACCAGGGCAGCCCAGCCCACCAGGATCCACATGATCTGTCTGTAATACCAAGGGATGTGGCAGGTAGCTGAGACACACACCACAGATCCAGAGCCGCTGCCCCTGCCTGATAGGCAACTCTGTGTCCAGGTAGCAGCAGGAAGGTGTGTGCTGCAGACGCAGGGTCCTAGGTGTCCTGGGTGTCACACAGACACTGGCATGTGCACACTATGAGCACACAGATAGGTCTACATCCCCCACAACACCGCTGCACACCGGCATCTCTAGGGCTGGTGGTAGATGTGGGATCCAGAGTGTGGTTTTGTGGCTGTGGTCTATGGGGACATAGGCCACCTCCACCATGTTCAGGGGCACAGGGAAGCCTCAGCAGCCAGGGGTGAGGACAGAGCAGGGTGCACACAGGGAGTCCTCCCAGGAAGAGCTGCTGCCCCCAGCCTCCTAGCCTGCTCTGGGCTCTCTCTCACCTGGCCCCCTGATGAGGGGGACTGTCACACAATTGCATGGGAAACCACAGAGTTAGTAAAGTAGTGAGGAAGGAAGTGCAGTGACCAGGAAGGGCTGGACCGCCTTCCCAGGGCCAGTCACTGCCTGCCCACAACTGTCCCCTCCCCAGTTTTTGAGCCACAAAGGCCTGACCCCTCCCTCTCCCAGCCTGGAAAGGAAACTCAGCCCCACGTGAAAGGAGCTGCGTGCCCCCAGGGCACCGCCTGAGTCAGGAGGAACCAGACTCACTTCCCTGTGACAGCTCCTGTTCAGCTGGCCCCACCACCTCCCCAGGGCGAGCGGGCAGCAATGAGGGTGGGTCATCGCCCTAACTGGGGAGCAGTCAGCAGAGTGCCTGGGCTGCGGGGGTGGGGGGTTACAAGGACCCTTACTGTATTTCAAAGGAGCGAGTGAAAACTCAGATGATAACGCGACCATGTCATGGAGTAAACGGCACCCGGGCTCATCCTAGGGGCACCATGGAGAAGGCCCAGGAGTGGACAGGATGGGGTAGGGGTGGAAGGGTCAAGTGAAGGGACGGGTCTGCCTGGAATCGCCCTTGGGTCCAGATCCGTAAGTGCGCCTGCCGACGGTAACGGCCTCAGGCCGGTCGGTGCCTCGGTTTCCACGCGGCTGCGCAGGGTCAGCGACTGGTCCTCTCTTGCACCCACTCCTGAAGCGCCGCCTCCTAACCCGGAGGACGCCCCGGGCCACCTCCTGCCAGGCCCTTGCACCCCGCGGCCTCAGGCAAAGCATCTGCAGCCCCGGGTCCAGTCCACCCGGCGCGCTGTCTCCAGGCTCCGGGCCCGACCAGCGCTGCCCTTCCTTCCTGAGGTTTGCGGCGCAAGCACCAGGGACCGGAGGAGGCCTGGCCGCCACCGCCCGGCTCTGGCCTTCCACTAGGCGGCACCCCCAACTCCGAGGAAGGGATTCCACGCCGGAGAGCGCCCAGCTACCGAGGGGCGAGGACCACGGCGAGATAGGCAGGAGGCGGCGACAGCGGCTCCTTCGATGGAGAGGCGGCTCGCGAGAACCGCGCTCCCGGCACGAAGGGCCCCGCTCGCTCCCGACCCCTCACAATCCCCGTCGCGTTCCCTACCGTCCAGGTCCCAGTCCGCGCTCCGGGGGCCGCCCCACCGCCCTGCGGGCTAAGGTTCGCCGCGCGGGCCCGCCCACTTCCTGCCCATTGGCCTGCGCCTCAGGCCGCCGTGATCCTATTAGTTGCTCGCCGCTGTGAAGGCGTGGCCAGCACGCTCCCCGCCCAGCCTGGTGTCACGTGATCAGCGAATCACGTGAGCTCGCCCCGCCTGCTCCTCGGATCACCAGGTGCAGGGTTTGTGAGAGGTTTCAGTTCCACTTGGCCGGCTGGGTTTGCACGCCGGTAGCCTGGAGGGGAGGGAAGCTGCGGACAGCAGGAGAACAACCCAGCCGCTCCCTCAAGGCCGCGGTGGAGATCGAGAGGAGGCCAGCTCCTTCAGCTGCAAGGTCGCGTGCGCAGCTGTGGACGAAGAGATTGGAGATGGGCGCCCGGGAGGAACAAGATTTAAATCGTGCTTCACGAAGTGCCGCAGCGCTCAGAGAGGCAGGATTGCGGATTGAACTCAGGCCGTTGTGCTTGCCAGGGAAGCACTTATTCTACTGAGCCATCTCCCCGGCCCCCTTTGTCTCAAAATTTAAAAAGGGCTAGATATACGTGAGTGAGAAGCCCTGGGTTCAATTCCCGCTGCAGAGACAGGGCCAGAGACTGCGATTAAAATTCGTTTGGGGAGCTTTGGTGGAGCTGCAGAGGACGATTTGGAGTGGCAGGTGGGCAGGGTTTGGATAATGTATGTTGGAAAAGAGCGGAAAGTACTGGGTACGCGCATGGGAGGGCAGCCTGGCTGCGTGAGAGCAGGTGGCCTCCAGTTCCAGGTGGCGCTGCCTTGCAGGACCCGCACAGTGGCTGAGGGTGGAAGTTTTCCTCTGGGACTAGCTCAGCAGGCCAGTGACCAGTCAGCTCAGTGCCAGGGGCTTCTTGCAGCAGGTGGAGTTGGCAAATGATCCCGGAAGGAGGAGAGGCCCAGGATTGCCCTGCAGTCCGAGGTGAGGGAGAACCAGCCAGATGGAGGTGCGGGAAGACGGCAGAGTTGTGGCATCGTGTAGCGGCTTCTTAGCTGGGAGCTGCTGAGGCCGGAGTGCGGCCCACGTGTGTGTGTGTCTAGTGCAGGGTCTACAGGGCCTCACTCTGTAGATCCAACTCGTAGTGAGGCTCCTGTTCTCAGCCTCCCAAATTCTGGGATTCCAGGCGTGCGCCACCGCGCCCAGTCTCAATCTCCATCTCTGCATGCGGGGCGGGTACCGGCATGGTAGGCCAGGGATCGAATCCCGGTCCCCGAGCTCTGCCTAAGCAGGTGCTTTTCTCCGCTGAGCTATAAGGCCGGCCCTAATAGTCTGGGTTTATGTATTGCCCATCCACATACTTCCTCCGCCCACCCCCGGCGACGCCTGTGCGGATCCCTGTCCTGTGGGTGCCAAGGTCAAGGAGCGCGGCTCGTCCTTTCATGGAAACACACAGATTCACACGTTCACAGAATCGTAGGCAAATAAGTATTAGTCACAAACAAATAGAGCTAGAAAAAAATGGGGGGAAGGGCAATCTTGGGTGTGGTAGAATATATCTGTAATCCCAGCACTGTGCAGGCTGAGACCGGAGGATCACCACAAGGAGGCCAGCCAGGGTGACCTAGGTGAGTTCAAGGTTAGCCTGCACTACATCTTGTCTCAAAAAAACCCAAAAAACAAAAAACAGGACTGGGGAGATAGCTCAGTAGAATAAGCGCTTGCCGCACAAGGGCCTGAGTTCAATCCCTGGTTCCGCCAAAATAAAATAAAAATAAAAACTATTTAAAAAAAAACAACCCAAGGTGCTGAAACACCATGGCTAATCTTCCATTCAGTGATTCCAGCTGGGCTACTCAGGAGGCTGAGGCAGGATGATCGCTGAGTTTCAGGCCAGCCTGACTACAATGAGCTCAACCCTGTCTCAAATCAGTCAATCAATAACAAAAAACGGCAGCCCCTAGATTTAAGGCCTTAACTGCACAGTGGGACCTTGTCAGACAAAACAAAACAAAACAAAACCCTGGGCTGGTAAGATGGCTCAGTGGTCTAGGGCACCTACTTAGAACAGGCTTGGCAGAGCACGGGGACCGCGGTTCAGTCCCCCAGCACTGCATGCCAGCCAGCCCCACCCCCTGGTGGGCTGAGCTGGCCACACACACACACACACACAAATAAAATTTTTAAAAAATTAAAAAAAAAAAACCCTTTGCAGGGCCGGCAAGATAGCTCAGCAGGCTCAGCACCTGCTTTGGCAAGTGCGGGGGCCATGGTTTGATCCCTGGTCCCACATGGTGCACTGGCCCCAGTGGTGCGCACCTGTAACCCCAGCGCTGGGGAGGCTGAAAACAGGAGGATCACTACTAGTCCGAGCTGTGTAGTGAGACCCTAATGTAATAAATTATTACCAAAATTATTACCAAAACATAAACAATTTTTTTTTAAATCTTGCCCTTGCCTTAAAAAGTTATATATAAGCAGGCGAAGTGGCCCCTGCCTGTAACCCCATCTGATGGGGAGGCTCAGGCTGGAGAACCACAAATTCAAGGACAGCCACATGATATAGAAGACTATCTCAAAATAAAATTGTTTTCAGTCTTGCTAAAATAGGGCTTTGAGGGGCTGGGGAGAGGGCTCAGTAGAATAAGCGCTTGCCTGGCGAGTGCACCTGAGTTCAATCCCCAGTTCCGCTAAAATAAAATAAGGCTTTGTTATGGAGTTCAGGCTGGCCTTGAACTCACAGTGACCCTCCTGCCTCAGCCTCCCCAGGGCTGCTGTTAGTGTATGCGCCCTCGCAGTCTGGGGCATCAGCCCTGCCCTTCCCTGCTCAGCTTCAGGTGGCTGCAGCCCGACCCTCCAGCAGCCCTGGCACCTAATGCAGGCCTGGCAGGGACACCCAGGCAAATTTGCATTCCCAAGTGGAAAGCATATTCTTCCCATAGAAACACGGTCCATGTTCACACCAGAACATCGACTCGCGCCCAAAGTCTGAGACATCTGAAATGCAGGAGAGGCCGGGGCCTGCCCAGTGCATGTGTCACTGATCCGTGGCTGGCCCAGGACCAGGCATGGCCCCTAAGGAACCTGACTTCGGCTCCGGGAGGCACAAGGGTGTGAGTCACACCTGGCGCCCCAACTTGGAGCAGAGGTCAGGGGTCATGTGCTTCCTGGTCCTGCTGGGGAGGAAACCGGTTCAGAGAGGCCTAGGCTGAGATTGGGTCGGCAGGGGTGGGTGCCCTGGTGCAGACTGTCCCTCTGTCCTCCCACCGCGGTGCTGTGGAGGTGCCTGGATTAGAACCCAGGGCCTTTGTTTGGAGCTTGTTTCCTTCCTAGAGCTTTTTATAGTCTTGTTTAAAGTTGTTTTTTTGTTTGTTTGTTTTTATTTTTATTTTATTTTTTTTTTATTTATTTATTTTGCTCTAGTCAGGGGAGGGAAACTTTATTCAGGCCCCAAGGCCGCAGGCGTTGGGCAGGTGGTGCCCTTCTGGACGAGGGGCTGGCTGAGCTTTATTTGACCTTCTTCTTGGGGCGCAGGTTGTTGGTGTGGCCACACTTCTTGCGGCAGTTGGCAGCACGGGGGTGCAGGCGGGCATGACACTCGCAGCAGACCATCTTGTCACAGTCGTACTTCTGGGCGAGCTGGCGCAGGGATGGCTCGATGATCCCACCTCGCAGGCGAAGCACCAGGCGCAGGGTGGACTCTTTTCGGATGTTGTAGTCAGAGAGGGTCCGCCCATCCTCCAGTTGTTTGCCGGCAAATATCAGACGCTGCTGGTCAGGGGGGATGCCCTC